ACTAAAGAAGCAGTTTTGTTCAACAAGGAAGAAACAGAGAATAAGCAGTTAAAAATTGAGGGGTGGGTGGAAAACTGACCCTTGGAAAGAGGGCTGGATGACAGCATCCAGTGACCTGGCTTTGATTCTGGGTTCCACCATCAACAAGCTGTATGACTTTGGCCAGTTGCTTCATGTGTCTGAGCTTCAGTGTTCTCATTTGGAAAAGTGGCTCTAAGATAATTTTTTTTTCCAGAAGACCATTTTCAGAATTAAATAAGTACTTATACAGAAGCTCTGGTAGCATAGTGCCTAAGGCACTTGACTGCTAACCAGAAGGCTGGCAGTTCAAACTCACCAGCCACTCCTCAGAAGGAAGGTTGGGCTACTTCTGTAGCGATACTGCCTTGGAAACCCAAGGAGAGGTCGCTATGAGTCGAGTCCGACTTGACAGCACATAATAACAACAACAACAACAGAAGTCCTGCAAACTGCTGTTCACACATAAGGTGTATATTTGCTATCCCTTGAGGGAAGAGCTAATCTGCCTTGCTCAGAATGTATCTCTGTGCTAGGACATAGTAGGTTTTCAAGAAATATTTTTTCTTAATTGAAGTTTTTGACACTATTACATTTAATATCCTTGTTATTGTTAACAATTCTGATTCCTGATTCCTAGTTCAATACTCTTTTCATTACACTACATTGCTATTTTTTAAAACAAAATTAATAATAACAACAGAAATGCTATCTATTGATTGTTGTTGTTGTTATGTGCCATCGAGTCAGACCCGACTCATAGCACCTCTCCTCGGGTTTCCGAGGCAGTATCACTACGGAAGTAGATTGCCCAACCTTTCATCCGAGAAGTATCAAACCTATCACTCATCTGTCACTTCATCTGCTGGGGTGGCTTGTGTATTGCTAGGATGCTGGATGCTATACCATCAGTATTTCAAATACTAGCAAGGTCACTCATGGTGGACAGGTTTCAGCACAGCTCCCATACTAAAGTAAACTAGAAAGAAAGGTCTGGCGGCCTACTTTCAAAATTTAGCCAATGAAAACAGGATGGGTCATAACAGAACATTGTCTAATACCGTGCTGAAAGAAAAGTTCCTTAGGTTGAAGGCACTCAAAATACACAATGGCTGCAGCAATGGACTCAAACATGCCAATGATCATGAACATGAGACAGGATTGGGCAACATTTCTGTCCAACTGGAAGGCAAGTTACCAACAACAGAGAAACCAACAATGTTCCAAGTACTGTAATAAGCATTTTAAGTACAGTATCTCACATAGTATATACAATAATCTGTTGGAGTGATGTGTATTAGTATCTCCCTTTTAAAAATGGGGAAATTAAAGCACAGCAAATTTAAATAACCTGCCCAATGTCACATAGTAGGTGGCACTAGGATTTGAATGTAATTCAAGCTTTGGAGCCTGTCTCCAAAGATCAATTTCTTCTCAGTCTTGTACCACTCTCTCTCTCTTAGTGGGTATTGTCTATTGG